TTCATTTCAATAAAGTAGCAAATTAAAACAAAAGTTGAGTGTCCAATCGAGTCCCTTCATCTTATGCATATCCTTATAAAAAGAGTGAGTTAAAATTTTAATCCGTCTCGTTAAAGGTGGATTGATAAACTGTTCCATTGATCCCAATATTTTGTGTAGTTTTTTTAACTTTTTTTATTGTATTTTTGAAGTTTATATATATATATATATTCAAAGCACAGTAAATATCTTTTAAGTTTTACTTGATTAATTCATGTTTTTAATAAAATAAATTAAAATTATTATTATTTTTACATGTTTATTAAATTATAAATAATAATTAAAACTATTTTTTTTTAATTTTTATTCTGAAAAAACAGGTTAACCTGTTTCATTTTTTATCAGTCAATTAATAAGCAGGACGTGCCAAAACGGGTTGTTAGAAAATGACACTTAAGATCTTGTGAATATGCTTCTAATTTATTTTCATTCCACATAAACCTTACCATTTATAGAACTAACATTAGATCTTTCATTTCCAATTCAATTATTACAAATCAAACACTATAATAACTATAAATGTAACTTCCTACCTCTTTCTCTTTCTATTACTAATCATTTTATTCATAATAATTATCTAATAACATCAAAATTTAAGTTTATTTCTACAAATATATCTTTTACCTGAGAAAAACCCACAATACCTGGTTATTCATAACAATTATCTAATAACATCAAAATTAAAATCAAAATTTAAGTTTATTTTTACAAACATATATTTTACCTTAAAAAAAACCCACGATACCTTCAAATGGACAATTATTGACCATGTAATCTTGGATGTATGCTAAACCTTCTTCGAAGTTTGTATACTCAGTGAAGTCCTGCACACAAACAAACAAAATTTAGAAGTGTATCTATGGTCATGTCACACGAGAGGATTGCACAAAATAACGTAACATATGACATGAAACACGATTGTTGAAACAACAACTTCATTGGCATGGAACCATTCGTATCTTGTGTCACAGATTGTGGCCACTTCGTGAAGACTAACTGCTTGAAATTTTCAGCACTGCCTCAGTTCCCATGGAGGCAGAGGAATCTGGGGTTTCTTTGACTTTGCTCTTCCATAATCAATGCACAAACTCGATTGCTTCAATTAGTCTATCACTACCAATATTGTGATTCAACAACACAACTTTCATCCATTCAATTTATTTCTCATATAAAAAATTCAAACTAAAATTTATAAAATTGAGTGATTACCTAACATAGTACCACTTATGTAATGCCCAGCTGTCTAGTTTCTCCCAAAATTAATGTTTAACAACAAATTAAATTTTCTGAGTAAAATATGAAATGCTTATAATACTAAATACAGATTTTTGTATTATTTTGTCACTCTAAACATTAAACATATATATTTTAGTTACTTAAAAAAAATTATTTATGATACTTTACATATTCTGTCTTTATTTCTTAAAGCTCAATATGAGAATTAGTTATAAAAAACAAAATGTTTTATTAATATACAAAAAATTGAAAAGTAACCATTTACCTGAAAATACATAAACTAAAACATTCTTTTCCGAATAATAGACTGCAAAACAGTGCCATTATTAGGACCACAAATGAATGAGGAATGGAGCTGCGGCACCAAGAAGCATTAAATGTCTTTAATTGTTTGTAACAACAGCTATTTTTTTTTATATATTTTAAATTGTTATCTGGTTATTATTTCACTGTAACAAAATTGATAAGGGACAACAGTTTCAAAGCTTACTTTATAGCAGCAGTTGCAATAGTGAATTTGTAAATTGTATTTATGGGTTGATGCTCTCAACTCACATGTAAATTCGTTTTGAGGTAAACAAAAGTAGATTACCGAGGTAATTTTTTAGTTAACGAGAGTATATGTTAGAATTTTCTTAACAAAACAACATTCATTTTGTTTTGTTGTGGAAGATGGTTGGCTTGAAGATTGTGTTTTATTCTTTTTTTTTTCTCAAGAAGTTGATTTAGGTATGTTCTTGTTTTCCCTCTCCTATGTCTTCTGGTAAAGAAAGAAATCGAATAAAAGAGAAAAAAGCAATAATAAAGAGGTGGTGGCTAATGGAGAAAAAAGAGAAACAAAAAGGCTTCTTACTTTTCTTTTTGAGTTCAAAGTTGTTTCTTTTATGGGTCAAACTTTGCAAAAAGATAATGGGTCTGCATTGGCTAGTGTCCAACCCAAATAACAATAATTAGTCATATATAAGTTGAAAATATAGTAAACAAGACCATAAGCATTCCACCTTAAATTATTATGTTAGAAGTAGTGGTACATCTGATATTAGAATTGATAGTTACTGTTCATATCCAAAATGTGTTATCTCTCCAATAAAAAGAATCCAACTATGATTAACTCACAAAAATAATGTTTTTATGAGTGTTTTTTCCTACACTTCACCCGTCTCACCCTGCATCTCTCTATTATTTTATATTTTCAATTGTCTTTCTGTCAGAGAATCTTTTGTCTGCTTTTTTTTTTATCTGTTTAACAATTAAAAACAAGCACCCATCCCTTCTTCTTGTGCCTCCATATTCCCAAATCCTACACCCCCTTTATCCTCTGTTACTCTCTGTTGCATTTCATATTCTCAAACCCTACTCCCCCTTTATCCTCTGTCACTCTTTGCCGCATTTCATATTCTCAAACCCTACTCCCTTTTCTTTTTCTATCTTTTCGCTGAGTGCTCCTCGCCTCCTCCCTCATTTTACTTGTCGTAGTCTCGCTCTTCATTCTCACAAACTGTCCTTATTTGGTGGCTGTTTCGTGATGTGGTGGTGGTGTTATGGTGAGCTCTTGTAATGGTGGTTCTTCTTCTCACAATTCACATCAAACATTTGCTTAGGCGTCTAGGTTAATTCTGTCGTTAAGCTCAAATTAGATTATTGTATGATAGAGTGGATGATGGATGGTTTAAAAGTGGAATTTGATGTTATATTTGCATTTTTGGACTTGTGCATGGTTGGATCTGGGAGGGGGACGAAGTGGGAGGCCTTAACCACACTTGGAAGTGCGTTAAGCTCCCTCGACGTTGGAAGTGCGGTTGAAGACCTTGTTGCACTTGGAAGTGCGGTTGATGCTCGTTGCACTTGGAGCGCGGTTGATGCTCGTTGCACTTGGAGCGCGGTTAAGCTCCCGTCGGCGTTGGAAGTGCGATTGAAGACCTTGCCGCACTTGGAAGTCTGGTTGACGCTTGCTGCACTTGGAGTTGCAGTTGATGTTCACCGTAATTGAAACTGCGGTTTAGGATTTTTTTATTGCTTTTCTTTTTTTTGCTTTTTTATATTTAATTAAATTTTTATTTGATTTGTTTTAAATTTAGAATTTGTATTTGTAGATATTGTATACAATTTAGTATTTTTTATATTTATGTTTAATATTAAATTTGTTTTAAAAGTATATGTATGAAATATTATCTTAATATTTTAAATTTATTTTTCTTAATATTTATATATTATGTTGTATTTTTTTAGTTTTTGATCCGTTTATTAATTTAAATTTAATTTGTTGTGGTTTTGTGGTTTTTTATACTTTTTTATTGATTTATTAACATTTTTTAATTTGTAATTTTTATTATATTTGATATTTATTTAAATATTATTTATAATGTAATTAATTTGAAATTTATATTTGTTTGTTAATTTTTTTTAACTTGTAATTATTTATTGATATATTTTAATTTTTTCAATATGAATTGTTTCTTAATTTATTTTTTAATTTTTAATGTTTTTGTTATGATTTGTAGTTATTTAAGTATTATTTATTAAGTCATTTTTATTGTTATTTTTTTTTATGTCTTTGTTATTTTATTATTAATTTCTATTTTTTTTTATTATTTATTATATGTTTGAATATTTATTATTATGTAATTATTTGTTTTTTCTTTTAGATTTGGTGTTGGTCTTCATATCAAAATCATTAAATCATCTGTTACACCTTTTCAGATTTTAGTTAACAAAGGGCAAAAATGTAGATGGATGAGATACAGGAAGCAACACTCTGTTCTTATTCACTCAAAGTTGCTCCAATAAATAAATAAATAAATAAATAAATAACTTTGAAAGGCTGAACAAACATCTTAATCCACCCAATCCTATTGTATGTCTCCCAACCCATCCATCAGGTTCATTTCTCTTGTTCTATTTTGTGAATAGTTTCGTATCAATTAGAAACAAGATAATTTATAATATAAGATAATTTATAATATATAAACGGAGAGAAACTTCATCTTAAAAATGGATTTTATGATTTTTAACAAAAAAAATATAACATAAAATAAATAAATTTTGTTTGTATTGTTAAATTTAAATGAAAATCGCATAAACCTATAATCGAGACCTGTCATTTAACCAATTATCTTCTTTTGTCAAAACCATTATTTGATTACTTATTTTTTTAAAATATTTGCTCAGTTATTAGGAAAAAATATTTTAATAAATTTATTTATAAATATTTCCATCCATATAATTTTGTTCTTGATATATATAGATGATTTCAAATGAACTATTAATATCCATTTATTTGTATAATAGATATTTTAATGATCATGCTATTAAAATATATTAGTTTTTTTAATATATATATATATATATATATATATATATATATATATATATTCTTATTGTAATAACCATTTAGATGAAAATCTCTTGTTTGGTTTTTTTTGAAAATAATTGCTTTCGGAAATATATCAGTCATGACAATGTGGTAAAATATCCAAATTCTGTATCATAGATGTATAAGTAATTAGTTATAATTTTATTATTATTAGCTTTTTGTTTCATAAAAAAAAGATTTTAAATAATAAAGATTCTAACATAATGTATAAAAATATTTAAAAACTTTAAACAATACAATTCTATATAGATGTAGCAAAGGTCATTTTTAAAACAGTTGTATCGAAAAAGTAGTTTAAAGTTATAGAATCAGGCTTACTTTTACAATAAAATGACAATAATAATGCCGTTAAACAAAATTTACAAGTAGAGCAAATCGCATTGCTTATACAAGGAATGAAGTTAATATAAACATTTCCAAAATGCTTATGGCCAGATACACAAATTTTATTTATTTTTAAGAAACTGATTCCGATATTCATGTGGAAAAAGTCAAATAAAGGTCTAAATGAAAAGCCATGAGGGAAAAGTTATAAAGATAAGATTTATATGTGGAAATGTGTCCACCACCAACCTTCAATGGCACCATCTTTTCACTGCATTGCAGCTTCAAATCAATTTTACATTAGTATATAAAGATAAGATTTATATGTGAAAATCCTCATTAGTATATGGTTTCAGTGAAGTTTTATAATATTGTTACAAGATAGAAAGCTGACAGATAGTTTGCATAAGATTCAAGGTTTGATATCACCATCTTAAATCATCCTCTGAATCCTGTCAGTAAAATTAACCATAATTTCAAGACTTTTATCATCTGCAACAAAAAAGACCAAATCAAAATCACATATTTTAGAGTTGAGAGACATTAATTATATGCACAAAACCAATATTCAAATGGCAACAATCATAGTTACAATAAAAGAACTACAATAGGAGAGTTCAGTAACCAAGTTTGGGGACTGTATGTCCTTTGGGGTGATGAATCACAACAGGATTCTGGAATGCTTCCAGCAAAGCAACGCTCTCTTCCTTCATGAAATCTTTCTCCCCTTCACCATATAACAAGAATAGAAGATACAATACAACTTTTAGAGTTATATGCAAAGAAACATTTGTTTAAGCAGAATCATAAATGAGGGACTTGAAACTACCAATGAAGTGAAGAGATAAGCAATCAATTGGTTTTGAAAATGCATTAGAAGCCAATTTAGGCATTCCAAACTTGTTTCCACCAAACTTGGCTCCAGATATCACAATCAAAAACTTGATCTTCTCTACCTTCCCAAGTGCTACACCCTATAAAAGCCATCACTCCCTTTAGTGAAATAAAATGTATCTTTAACCTATACCTAGAGCATCCTCAAAAACGAACACTATTTTTATTAAAGAAATATACATTTCAAGTCAAGAATCATAGTCAAAGACAGAGAAACAAAGCTATAAACTCGTCTAAAACCTTTAGCAGTAGAGTTAAAAGTCAAGTGTTCATTCTTTGACAATTTAAGACATAAAACCGTATAAGCAACCAACCATGCTTCATGCTTCGTAGATACTCACCGAAAAGTCAAGTATTCATTCTTTCACCAAAGGGGCATCATCATGGAAGGAAGATCAACTTAATTAATATCTAAAAGAGACAGTAAGCAGCAATAAGATGAGTTTCTTTTTCAGTACCTGCGATTGCATTCCTGGCAATGCAGCTGCTAAAATTGCTCCCTGAGAGACAACATTCCTTCTTATTTCTAAAAATTGGAAGAGCAAAAGACACAAAAGTTCACAAAAAACATTGTAGCAGCATAGTCCCCACCTGAGAGAAACCCAACACACCATCGAAAGGACCATTTTTTAGCATGAAATCTTCTATGTATGCTAAACACTCTTCGAAGTTTCTATATTCAGAGAAGTCCTGTACACGAAAAGATAAACGTTAGAAGCATACAAGGATGATATCGGAGGTGGAGATCACTGAGGTGGACTGTCTTGTCTGTACAACAACCTCATTGGCTTGGAACCATTCATAGTAAGGAGGGTCAAAAATGCCTTCAACGTCAGATCTTCCCTGTGAGGGAAACTGGCCATCGAGGAACACCAGGTCCAAGTTTTGTATCACAGGTTCTGGCCATCTTAAGACCAATTGCTTGAGGATTTCGCCACTGGTTCTGAATCCGTGGAGGCACAGGATTCTGGGTTTTCTCTGGGTTTGGTCTTCCATTATGCACAAACTTTGACTGCAGATTATAGTTCCTACGATCGTGCTTTCACGAAATGAAATTTAGTGTCTGTTTCTTCGGATTTGGGGAAAATCTAAGCGCCGATGTCCCCAAACCCATCATTTAATAAATACATTGCAATTTTTACATTTCATCTATATAAAATCAACTCAATCTAAATAAATAAAAAATAAAAAATAAAAAATAAAAAATAAAATACATATAAAATATTTTTCAATTTTAAATTATATCTCTTTGATTAATTTCAATTTTAAATATAATTATTTAGTATATCTGTTAGAATATTCATATTTTATTTTCATATTTTAAAGAGTTATTATTATTTGATAAAAAGATTATGCATAAGTTTATTTACAGACCGAACCGGTTTAAGTCTATTCCAAAAGTAATTCTGTTTAATTTATATTATTATGTTTTTTAATTTTACTGTTTGATTACGTAGTATTTTTCATGTTAGCAATTAGATACTAGTCTATTTTAGGAGTAGTTTAATAAGGTAGCTGGGTATTTAAATGCCCAACTGCCTTAATACTAAGCATTTAATTTAATTTTTTATGCAAATACTTTTTTTTAACATTTTGGTAATGTATTTAAGTTTTTATAAGTTTTGAAAAGAAAAATCTACAATAATTAAATATCGCATCATTACTACAAATTACTTACAGGTTTTATATTNTCCATTATGCACAAACTTTGACTGCAGATTATAGTTCCTACGATCGTGCTTTCACGAAATGAAATTTAGTGTCTGTTTCTTCGGATTTGGGGAAAATCTAAGCGCCGATGTCCCCAAACCCATCATTTAATAAATACATTGCAATTTTTACATTTCATCTATATAAAATCAACTCAATCTAAATAAATAAAAAATAAAAAATAAAAAATAAAAAATAAAATACATATAAAATATTTTTCAATTTTAAATTATATCTCTTTGATTAATTTCAATTTTAAATATAATTATTTAGTATATCTGTTAGAATATTCATATTTTATTTTCATATTTTAAAGAGTTATTATTATTTGATAAAAAGATTATGCATAAGTTTATTTACAGACCGAACCGGTTTAAGTCTATTCCAAAAGTAATTCAGTTTAATTTATATTATAATGTTTTTTAATTCAACTGTTTGATTACGTAGTATTTTTCATGTTAGCAATTAGATACTAGTCTATTTTAGGAGTAGTTTAATAAGGTAGCTGGGTATTTAAATGCCCAACTGCCTTAATACTAAGCATTTAATTTAATTTTTTATGCAAATACTTTTTTTTAACATTTTGGTAATGTATTTAAGTTTTTATAAGTTTTGAAAAGAAAAATCTACAATAATTAAATATCGCATCATTACTACAAATTACTTACAGGTTTTATATTGGTTATAAATATCTCCATTTTATAACTGATGTAATAATCACGTGAGAGGATGGTGACGATACAGTTGGTCACATTGATGACGCGATTGTTCACACTGCTGGACCACTTAGCCCAACGAGTAGAAGTGGGAGTGAGAATGGGCTGGAGAGCCCAATGGGCTATGAGAGGGTTGGAGTGGAAGTGGTCTTCTCGTCGTTGAGGAAGAATGCAAGCAGTGTGGAGCATCGGCGACCATCGGACCGGCAACAATGGTTGTGTTGTTCATGTCGGTGTATGTTTTTCTCCTCTCATTTTCATATCCTTAGACAATGACTCTGATTGGTCTTACCCAGGAGAAGGATTTAGATGTAGGTACAAAACTTTCCAAACATCCATTTGCATGAAAAATGTTTCAAAAATACTAATAATCTAACCAAAACATGTGTTGCCACGTAGACAAATAAAAATTAAAAATAAATAATAAAAATATGGTAAAAAAATGATAATTCAGAATCTCTTTGACTGTGCCACTAAATGAGTGTTGGAACATGTTTTGTCTTTCTCATAACCATTCACTCTTGCAGCGTTCCAATGCAAACAAGTCAGGGTTTAGAATGGTTGACTAATTACTCAACTACAGTGTAGCCACAACACTGATTCATAAATTGCATTTATTATAGATACAGATGTAAATTTGAGAATGGGAAATTATAATTGTAATAAAAATTAAATATTATTTATGTCTTTTTAAAACATAATTGATAAATCTTACGTAACCATTTAAAATTAAACGAAATGGACCATAGTAAACGTGTATAATTTTTTTTCAACGATTTTGGTGAGCTAACTGGAAAACTTGGAACTACTGGCATTCCATTACTTATGAACTAAGGCAAAACTAACTTTGTGTTTACTTTTCTACGCACGTATCTTTAGTTTAGAAGAAAACTAGTTTTGGTATACATGCGATTCCACATGTCCACTAATTTCACATAAGGTTCTTTGATGGGTCTTTTATGAAATATATTTTATTCACCTGAAAAAGTAAAATAACCTAAAGCGATATGGAAAAATTCAAAAGAGAAAGTAAGATTACAAAATCAAATAAATATGGAGCTATTTGATAAAATGTAAATATATAGTTTTGTTCGTGATTATATATTTGGTCCTCGAATTTGTTAATCTTGTTTAATTTTAACTCTGTTTTCTTTTTCTTGTTCAATTAAATTTTAACTTTTTTAAAATTGATCCAAGTATTAGATAAATATATTTATCATTGAAATTTATTTAAAATTTTGTTTTTAAATTTTAAATATATTTGTTTAAATTATTATAAAACTATTTTAAAATTTTATATTTGAATTTATAATATTGTTATTTTTAAAACAATATAGAAATTATTAATATATAATATTTAAAACAAAATTTAAATAAAATTCAATGTAAAATAAAAATTTAAATAAATTTAATATTAATGAAAATACATTTATATAAAGTTAAATTTGATTTTAATTTGGGATGAAATTACTTCAGTTTAAAAAAAATAGGATTGAATTGAGACAAAATATAAATTAAAAGACTAAATTCACATGACACTTTCCTCAACAACTGTTACCGTCATGTCACATTATCTTTGTCATGTGGCAGGATCCTTGTTGACATGTGACAAAATATTATTTTCAAAATAATTTTTTTTAAACAAAAAAAATTAAAAAAACCAATGGCTAACATGTGACAGTGAGTTAACATCATACTGTACAAACGGGAAGTGTCAAATTGCATCACGTCTTCAAAAATGACCTCAAATTGAAACTACTTAAAATCTGATAATCAAATTAAGATTTCACTACAAATATGAGGATCATATGAAGGTTTTCACCTTATTATTATTGATATATATATATATATATATATATATATATATATAATAAAAAATAAAAAATAGTTATTTATATCTATATAAGAAAAAAAGCAATTTTATAAATTACAAAAATATTATTATTACAATTATAGTAATTATTGTTATTATTAATATATATATATAGATAATAAAAAACAAAATTATTTATATTTAAGAAAAAATATATTTTCAAAAATTTTTAAAATATTATTATTATAATTAAAATATTAATAATAAAAATAAAAATTTTATATATATAATTAAGCAAAATCCTTTTTAAAAGTTACAAAAATATTATTATAATTTCACTTGTGCATGAATAATCAATCCCTCAAAATTTGACGATGATGTGTCGAATGCTTCATCGTTCCCGCTTGCAAATTGTCACATGTAAGAACCTAGAAAATGGAGTATTAGAGTAGGTAGGTGTATTAAAATAATGAGACCGAATATTTTATTCTAAAATAATCTTATAATATAAATAGAATTTTCTAAACACGGTTCATTATCTAAAATACTTTTATCTCTCTAAAACATTGTTCTCTTCTCTTTCCGTCACTTCTTTCTACAAATTCTCATGTTTGGGTTATCTGTTCGACGATCAAGGAGTGTCTAGACGATCCTGGCGTCGAGGAGTACAATTCTTATCGATCAATTTCCTGTTTTGAGCCAGTAAGTTGTTTCCCTTCTTTCTCCATACGTTCTTGGACCGTGTTCATGCGACAAATTATGTTTGCATGTATATAGTAGCTTTTCTCTTCAATTCTTAGCTCAATTTAGGTTCTAAGGTTTGTTTCCTATCACCAATTGGTGAGTTGTAGGTTTTTGTAGAGTTTCCTTGCGATGCAAGCTTCTAGTGGGGTTTCTGTGAGCTATGATGTCGATCAGAGGTAAGTGGAGCTAGATTATTACTTTAATTAGTAGTTTGACATGTAAGTGTGATGAATTTTGTGTGGTGGTGCTGATTTAATTGACTTTAGGTTTTGGAGTGGATTGAGTTGCATGAAAATTTGATTGTTTGATTGTGACATTGTGAAATGGTGTTTATGAACTGAATTGAATGATGTATAATCTGTAATTGATCATATTAGATACGAGTAATCAGTTATGAGAGTGATTAGATAGAGGTTTAAATGAATTATTTTGTTTTAAGTCAATTGTGAGGAAGTGGGGTAGTGAAAACTAGAATTTTGAGTTAGATGATCATGTCGTCTATTAGAGCAGTTTTTGTAAGTCAAATGTGACTTGCTTGAGCCCTTAAACTGGTCAAAAGTGTGTTAAAAGTGGAAGATTAGTTTTTGAGTCTATAAGTTGAGATTTTGGGGTTTTGAAGTAGAAATTGATCCATGAACATCTTAGATTGATGTTAGAAAGGTTTAGGAACGTTTAGTCAAGTCTAATTAGGTATATAACACAATTTAGGAGTGTTAGAAGTTGGGAAAAATAGTTAGAATTGGTAAACTTGGGTTGAGTTTGCTTAATCTGCAGAATTCGTGCTGTAGAATTATGCAGACTTACTGTGCGAATGGATTCGCACAACGAGTGGTCTTGGCAAGTTACTCTCTTCCAAAGCATTCGCACAGTGAGATGTTGCGTTGTGTGAATGGTTGTAAGGGTTGGCTCTCTGCCTAATGATTCACATAGCGAATTGGGTCGTAGAGCGCCTTGTTGTGGTTTGGATCACTGCCAGAGTTATTCGAATAGCGAAGGGTTGCGCACAACAAGTGTTTGGGGGGTTTTGGTCATTGTCTAGGCTTCCGCATAGCGAATTTGGGGCGTTGTGCGAGGGGTTGAGGTCTGATACCACTAGTATTTAATTCGCTCAGCAAATTAGGTCACAAAGCGAGTGGGTTAGAGGTTGGAGCCGAGTCGTTGTGCGAGAGGAGTCAGTGGTCGCTCAACGAGTGTATGCGCTGAGCGACTGGTCCAGGTTTAATTTGCTCTTTTCGTCTTTATTCTTGAGTGATTTGAATGATGGTATAATTCATTGAATGTTATGCATGAATGTGTATGAAATTATATGAGTATCAAAGGTATTAATGGTGATTCAAAGTGAAGGAAAGTATGATTTCAATGCGGTGTAAGTGAGTATCAAAGTGGAATCTCTCTGTGAGATACTTGTTTGTTTAGAATGAATACAGGGAGCTCAGTATTGGGGTATCCTAACACTCTAATGATCTTTCATTCTCACATAGAGAGGATTGATTCATGTGGTGAGAGTAGTAGGAGGTCCTAGTGTAGGCGCTACTTGGAGGCCTATTGCGCGGTAACAGACTAACCTTGTGTGTGTGATAGGGTGAAACCCATGGAAATGGCTTTGCAAAGCAGTAGAGGCCACCACAAATGCACAACCGCAATAGCTCGGTATTCATTCTAGGTCCAGACGGTCAAAGTCAGTGTAGTGTCATGCATAATGGGTGTTGTGATGTGAAAGAATGTGTATGATTGTATGAAGTATAGATAATGAATATATGATGACTCTTTTATTTAAACTAGCTTACCCTTCTACTTGATTTGTGTTTTGTATGTGTGGTGTTTTCCTTTGCAATGATCATCCTGTGGGTGTGAGTAGAGGGATATAGGATCTCCGTGGAGCAGGTGCTTGATGGAGAGGATCCAACTGTTTAGTAGTTTTAAAAGCAATATTGTAAATAGTTTTGTAACAGACTAGTTGTTTATAAAGTTGAAATTTTATAGTTATTTTTGGATGACTGTAAGTTAAACTTTGTATAATAGTTTTAACTGTTCTATCTTATCCTTCATGTGATGACTCTTGTATATATATTATCTATGCTATATTTTGGAATGTTACATCACCCCGCAAATAATCTCAAAACCATTGGTTCAAACGTCTCACTCACTTGCAAATGCATTCTCATACACATGCATGAGTAGTGTCATCCATGGAAACAAACACTACGTTAGGGAGAAACTCCATGATAGCATATCCTCTTATCAAGGGACTTCCATCCAAGGTCTTTCATGAGCACCTTATTCATATGAGTGTTTTACAGTTTGAGAAATCTTTGATTTATTGAGAGTTAGTCACTTTTGTGTGTTTTATGTTCTAGGTTTGATGTATGTATAACTTGTCTTCTTTTGGACTATTTGGTTTTTTAAATATGTGGTTTATTATTCCGAAATTACATTATATATATATATATATATATATATATATATAATTAAATGTTTTAGGATCATTATATTTTATTAACCAATTTATTACAGTAATGTAATTAATTATGTCTATGGCTATGAGCATATATGTCATGAAATATTAAGTGTGTAGATACCATATGTAATATTCTAATTTGATGAGGGGCTAAATTAAGAATATTTATTTTTTAGAAAAAGTAACCAATCAATATTACATAAACCATATGTATGCACGTACATATTATTCTTATTTCTTTCTCTTCATCCATATCACAAGAGAAAATCAAGAACCTAATACGCTCTATAGTTGACAGATGACCAATGTAAGATGACAAACACACACTTAAAAACAAATGATGTTTGGAATTTGCCTCATAATGAAAGGATTGTTGGATGTTGGAATGATAAGTGTCAACCAATTGTAGATGGTGGAGCATTATTGAATCAGTTCTTGGGGAGTATTGCTAGGAACTTCAAGGCGTTTCCTATTCCCTATTCTACTTGGAAGAAATTACTAAAGAGTACCAAAAAGACATAATTCAGAATATCATTCAAGTAAGTAATGTAACTTTTCAATTTACAATTTAGTAGTGTGACATACGAAATTAGACCTTAATTCACATTATTTACGTTACTTCTTTATGTCATACAAAATTTTGGATAAATTCAACCATTATCCGTAATAATAGCTAAATGTATGAAATAATTTATTTTAAATAGATTAGTGACTAAGTATTATTTTATATTGTAGATATCTCATCAATGAAGTATTTTAAATTATGATGAATTGAATGAAGAAGATCAAAATTAATCATTCTTTTAAATATGTTTCTCTTTTAATGTGTATTTAAATAATGTTATTATTTTATGTTGAACAATTACTTGTATTAAAACTTGTTTATTTTATATAATATTCAATTTTATTTCCAATTATTTGTTGTGTTTATTTTATATAATATTCAATTTTATTTCCAATTATTTGTTGTGTGTTTTGTTCATTACAATATTTTTTTTATCATAATTAATTAAATAATATCAAAAAAACCTAATCTATGCATTTCGGGCGGTTTTGGAACTACTGTAAATTTCGACAATTATGAAACATCTGTAAGTTCTAACAGTTTGCGAATCTATGTAAATTTTAACAGTTTACGAAACATAGGTAAGTTTCAACAATTTCTAAATTCCAGTTAATTCTGGCGGTTCTCTACAAAAGTACCCTTAGTTGTCTACAAATTTTGGAGATTTTGACCAAAACTCCCGAAAATTGTGAGGGTCAGGATAGAACTCTTTATAAATATGTATATGTAAATTTTGTACCAGATATTACTTTGATACTTTATATTCTCTCCTCTTCTTTAGTTCCTCCAAAATTTACTTTGATACTATTATATTCACGTCTAATAAAAACCGTATTTAACGGTATTTATAGTTTTATTATTTCTATTTATTTTATCTTGTTTATGATGGTTTTTAATCTTAAAGGAAAAACCCGGCGACGAACAAAAAAAAATTCCATCCAAATAAATATACGATTGTCGGAAAGAAGAGCCTATGATTGATGATTATAATCCATTTATAAAATAATGGAGTACAATACAACGCATTTGAGGAAAATAAAAACCGATCATATGTATATTTTTTGTTTTCTTCTATTTTTTAGTTGTCACTTTGGTCAATTCAGCACGATCCAACATACTCCGTTTCCTCTTCTCATAAATTGAAGACAATAATTCCATGAAATGGAAATGTTGGTTATGCTAACATACAAATAAACAACAAATAAATAATAATAAATTCATGAACATAAGAGATATCATCAGTCGACCAATTTTTTTACATCTTTATCGTTCAATCGGTTATGAATCCATAATAACACATACAGAAAAATATTATACATAAATTTGAAATTTGTGTAGTAAATATATGTTTAATACGGTGAATAAATAAATAAATTATGATGATAAGATAATTGTAGTCATGAGTGAAGAAGATGCGAACCCTCTCTTTCTTGCTTTGTTTTCCACATATTTTACAAGCAAATGCGACAAAGAGAAAGAATTGCAAAAGTCCAAACCTACTCGTATTATTAAGACGTTAATAATTGCCAGCTTTTGCCAGCTCCTACTTCATCATTAAAATATCTTTAAAAAATATACATAAATAATAGTAGTGAAGACTTTGCTCCTTGTAGTCCCAAAAAATGACAACGGGATACACTGGATTCAAACAATTTCTCACATGCCCTTCTTTTTCATTTTCTTCCACGTCTATTCTGTGCTATGTTCCAGCTGCATTTTTATTTTCAAATATTATACGTATATTTATTTTTGTATTTTATTTCCGTTTGAGTTGAGTGGTTGTTTTCCATTGCAACGGTTACCTAATATTATTCTTTGTTTCAATCCACCCCATTATCAACTACGTATTCTATCTAAAACATCAGCGATAATGAAAGGGTGATGTATCTGCTTTCTCAATCACGGAATGCAAAATTACGAATAAATTATGTAGAAAGGGTCAAAACAAAAATAAGGGCACCTTTTCATCTGGTGGAGGGTTTGCAGTTCGCGTAAGAATAATCACTACTTTTCATTTTTTTTAGATTAGATTCTATGATTCTTTATTAATAATCATTAATGAAAAAAAATAAAAAAAGTTGTCACAGGACAAGACACGAGTGGCACCAACGCGGGTAAAGCACCCCGCGTTTTATTACAGGACAGAACCCATCAACGAATGGACTATGAAGGGCACACGTGTGAGGTCTAGATCAACGGTCAAAATATAAGGGTACCCTAGTAATATCGTAGAACGACTTTATGGGTTGTTGAAAAGCTATGGTCTTTCTGAAGAAAGAAAAAGTAAGAATAATAAAAAATAAAAAATAAAAATTAGTTTTTACATATTGGATTGTTTCCTTTTTTAATTTTTCATTATTTTCATAGTACACATTTCTTTTCTTAATTTTAGGTTCCAATTTCTTAAAAATTTAGTTTTTTTAATTTTTTATTTATTTTCTGTTCCGATTAGAGTGGAAAAAAGTTTAACGCGGAAGCGACGAGAGTAGGAAAATGGGTGGAAAAACCGCCGTACTGAGGGGTGGCGGAGACAGTGACTGCTGACTGACCCACAGAACTGACACGTGTCCTGACGCAAAAGGGTGAGAAGGTAATATTGAGGAAGCACGATGGACAAAAAGGCAAAGAAGGAACACACATTCAGAAAAATCATAGTGCGAAATGTAAAATCCCCAATGGGCCACAAACACAACATCCACATCTGCCAGCTAATGTTTTCCACATTTACACAAACATTACAAAAATTGTACCAGACACCGAAGAAAGTTCAAATGAAGATAAATTTAAAACAAAAAATAAAAAAAAAAGTGGAAATGGAGTGTTAAGTGTTGACCCATTCTTATTACTCACATCACACCGCCCTGACTTAGTCCACGGTATTATGGAAAAATGACGACGAATGGGAGTGCATGCACATCACAACATATATATAAATATATAGAGTAAGGTTGGAAAATTAATTAGATAAAAAAATTGTGTGCGCGCATATAGAAGAAAATTAAATTAGGACATTGGAGTTGGAGGAATCTTTGAGCATTATTGATGCATTAATCGCCACTGTCCTTTAACGCCTCTCAAGCCCTCTTTTTATATATTCTGTTCCCTTATCATCTTCCACTGCTCAACCCTTTCTCTCTCTCTAACACGCAAGTTTCAGTTTTTCTGTTTCTGTTCTCTCCACTCAGAACATGGGTTCTGCTGCAGTACAACTGTTTCTTGTCTTCGGGCTTCTGGCTACATCATGCATAGCGCAAGCCCCAGCCGGTGCACCTACACAGCCTCCCACAACCACCCCACCACCACCTCCCGCATCAGCACCGGCACCTACACCCACCACACCAGCAACTCCACCACCCACTGCAGCACCACCAACACCAACACCCACACCAGCACCGGTATCAACACCACCAACATCAACACCACCAGCACCTACCCCCACTCCTACCCCAGTTTCTTCTCCTCCATCTGGAGCTCCCACTCCGTCTTCTCCTTCTGACTCTCCACCAGCACCTAACGCCCCCGGAATTTCACCCTCAGGTGGCGGCGAAGCACCCCCGCCACCCAACGCCGCATTCTCCGTTGCCAAGTCCTTCGTTGCTGGCTCTGCCCTCGCGGGAACCTTGGTAGCCATGTTCTTGGCTTGAAAACAGACCTTACGGTTGGAATTCGTCCACGTGGAGGCTCTTCGGCTCTTGATCTTGTTTTTCACCGACGGACGGACGGGATCTATTTCATTTATTTTATCCTCTGGTCTTGTTGAGTAGCGTTTTCTTTTCTCTTTCTCTTTTCCGGGTTTTATGTGTTTTCTCTAGCTTTGTTCGTCGTTGATGTGTTTGTTGATTCGATATCTGGGAGGGTTGGCTGTTGTTGATGATGATGACGATGGTATTCATGATTATGATGATTATTTTGTGATTCATTGTTTTGGTGTTTACACGTGTATGTAGATGACCTTGATGATTTCATTGTACATCTAATAATTGAAAGAATAAAACAGTTTGGCATTCTTTTTACTTAGATTCTTGTTCCTTGTTAATGTGCAAATCCCTCTTGTTCCCATGGTCAGAGCGAGTTGCAAAGTTTCTTCCTTTGTTTCTTGCCATCCATAGATCTATCTCATTGTGGAATATATGCTTAATTATTCCAACTTTTCCACATTATACTTCGCTTCCTCCTTTTCAAATTAGTGCTCTAATTGGACCATATATATCATGCCACGTAAGTACCAGCATTTTTAAGTTGAAAACTTTATAGGTAAATATGAAAACATCTTTTTCTGCTTTTCGTTCTGACCACAGATCCAAGAGGAAACAAATTTTGTCCTGTCATTTTTTCTACTCACATTTAAACAGTAAAGTTAAAGTATACGAATGCAGAACCTTTAGTAAAGTTATTTGCGATTATTATGTTATACAAATCATAATTATGGGAGTGTAATAACTAATAATAATGTAATATAATCAACTTAGGTAAAAGAAAGTTCATATTTTATGATTTAAACGCTTAAATGTTAACAAACAATCTTTTAAGAAAAAATAACATTTACTTATATTCTTCACGGGGAATTAACTTTTTCTTGATAATCATTTTACTTTTGCTAATTAGACCTTTTATGAGATGCTTCGATTAAATCATAAAAAGATAATTAATCCCAAATCAAAATATGTTCACTTTCAAGTACAATTTGTATATTTCATTGTGTGCTGTCTTGAACGTGCAGTTCTCCTAATTTAAAATGACAGTTTTTCACCTACTTTTGTATTAAAAATGCATTTTTTTTGCCTTAAAATTAGAGTGGCATCATCTTTTCCATGTGACAGTATTGATGATGAAAGAAGCTTCTGGGTTGTTTTCTAAAGAACGTGGGTTTCCTGGTCTTTTCCTTTCAATGTTGTGGAGATTTGTTTAATAGGTATGAATTCCGTAGGAAATTGACATGTTATACGACAATTTTCCTAAATATAATAATGGTATTATATTTATTTAATATGCGAAAGTGGGAAGCACGTAGTTGGAGATAGATGCCTCCAACAAGAATTTGTATTATTGCAAGCAAAGTGGATCTGGTTAGCAATTGGTTAAACTGCGAACCCCTCACTCACTTCACTTCACTACTCGATTAGATCCACGTGTTTCTCATATAAGTTCCTGTATATTATCATGCCACCTTTTTATTTTATTTTCAATTTTTTAAAATTTACTTTCTGAAAATATTTTCTGGTATTCTCTAATTAATTTCTTATTCTAAATCTATTAAGTTTGGGAAATTGTTGTTAAAAAGAAAAGTCATGAGATGTTTTCATGTTCTCTGCTTTCTTTTCCTCCGTCTTATTCAAATACTTCCCACTATACTTAATACAAAGAAAAAAAAATTAAAACAAAAGAAATAGTTTCAAAACAACAAAAAGTTTAAGGTGTCTATAATATCTTAACTATATTATGACTTCTTTAAATATTCTTTGAACTACGCAAAAAAACAGCGTTCTTTTTAGTTATGTTATTATTGTGGAATATCTATATTTTTTGTCCTTAACTAATATTTGCCAGAAAACTTAGTTGAATGTCTTGAATGTGGTCTTCTTTTCTCTAAAACATATTTTTCATTTCATTTAAAGAATTCAAATTAAAATGTCTGAATCTAATTCCCCTTAACCAAATAACACAATCTAATGATTGTTAGTAAATACGCATGATTCTTATGTTTTTTTGTTATTATTATTTATTAAATTAGTAAAATTTATGTCTAATTCAATGTTAGTAAACTAATTTAAAAGTGTAGATTTGGAATTAATGTGAAATTTTCATTAAGTTTTCTCACACCGATGACATCGAGTATGAAAATTAGTGGTGCTCACTAACAAATGAAGGTTCAAATTTTGATTATAATAAACCTCAAATAACTTAAATGTTATATAAGTTAGTATAATGTAAGTTTACCTCAAACTTTCTAAATTAGTCTTAATAGGATATTAAAACTTATGTTTAACTCAACGTTAACTTAGTTCAGTGAAATTGAATTAAACATAAGTTTCACTTCTTTAATATAATGTTAAAACTTAATATAATATCAAAGTTATTCATACTTTATTCTAATTAAAATTTAAGTTTATTAAACCATGTATTATTTAATCTTTCATCAAATCTCATATATCAAAATGTATTTGACATGAACTCATAATATTTATATTAACTAAAAATAATATCAATTTATAGGTTTAATCCTTTCGAACATCCCTATTTCTATAGGATCGTCTCAAGTAGGTCCTCGTATTGTAAATGTTCTCTATTAGGTCCCTTATTATGAAAAATTGAATCAATTTAGGCCTTACCGTTAGTTCCATACTAACACCGTTAAAGGGGGTGACACGTGTCAGTTCGTGGTTTTTTTGAATTTTTTAATTATATTTTTATTATTTTTATTTTTATTTTTTATTTTTTTAAAAGTAAATTTTAAAAATGCCACGTGTCAAACTGATAGTGTGCCACGTGGCAATGGCAGTGTGACATGGCACTGACAGTGCCACATGTCATTGTTAGGTCACGTCTCATTGCATTAGTCTCAATTTGGTCCCTGTATTTTTATGATGTTGCAATTTGATCCCTGTATTTTTATTTTGTCTCAATTTAATCTTAATTTTAAAAATTAAACAATTTTTCACTATTTTTTAATTTAGTCTTAATTCAAAACAGTTTTAATTTAGTTTTGATTAAATAAATTTCACTATTTTTTAATAAAATTAATTTAAAAAATAACTAATTTGTATTTAAATTATCAAAATATTTTTATTTAAATTATTTTTTGGACTTGTTACTCCTTCTTTCTATTGTCTCAATTATCACTAATTTTTTTTGTCAATTTCTATTTTTCTAATTTTTTTTTTTACTTTTTGCGAGTATGTTTACCGAGTAAGAAAAAACTCTAATAAAATTCTAAAAGGATGAAAAATTTTATTTTATTTTTTAAAAAATGAATGGTACCAGATTATATATTTTGACTAAAGAAAATGAAAGAAACGAGGAAACATCAAGAATCAACAAAAGTATTAAAAGTGACACAGGATATTTTATTGTATAATTTTGATAATCAATTTCTATCAGTTGATCGAAAATATTAGATGAAATAAAAAAACAAACGGTCAATCACTAGAAATATGATGAGATTGTAGAAGAAAATATTGTCATGAGTTAAACAACTTATTGAGAAAGAAAGATAATGTAGTGTATGAAAAGGTAAGGAGAAAGAGAAAGAGAAAGAGAAAGAGAAAGAGAAAGAGAAAGAAGAAAAATAAAGATTTAATTAGTTTCTTTATTTTAGAGGTTCAAAGTGGTTTATTCCTTTGAAAAAATGTTTAACTTGTTTTTTGTAACGTTTAAATCGTTAACGGTTAATGTCCACTTTAACCAATATTCAATTAGCTGTCTAGTTTTAAAATATTTGGCCACATAACATGTTAATGTTAAAAGTTTTTATTTCACATTTTATATTTTTCTTTTTATTTTATTCTTAATATATTATCATCTTCTTGCTAAACACATATGTCTCTTCTCAACCAGTTCAAACTATCCACATCGCCACCCATCGCTACTCGCACTTAAATAATCACCGAAATCCCCAAACTAAACCACCATTGAAAAACCACAAACCGCAACCATCTCCCTTCAAACGAAAAAAAAAATTCAGAATCCAAATCAAACCTTAACCCCAAATCACGAGATCAAAACCTATAGAGAATAATCAATAACAAAAAGCCCAATTAACATAACCCAAATTCAACCCTGATTTGAATTTTTAATCTCATCGAAGCCCCTATCGTTGCGAAGATGCTAGAGGACGAGATCCTCGCGTCACAAAACGTCGCCCCTACCCCTAGAAGCTCGCGACAAAGACGCTAAGCATCAACTATTGCGAAGAAAGTGTCGTGCCTGAGCCATCAGAAAATACATCTCCTTCACTATGAAAAGAACCTAGAACATAGAAGAAGAAAGGAGTTTGACCTTCCCGCCAATCACGACCCTTAAGCAGAAAAGGAGAAGACGAAACCTCCTACCTAGCCACCGCTCCGTCCGTGATGATGAGTCTTACCCGACAAAGATGAACCAAGCCAAAGGAGAAGAAGAAAACCCTACAAAACTCACAGGAACACCCTAAGGATGGGTTTGTCTGAGAACCAAAAACTAGAGAGATGAAGAAGTTTCTAATTAGGGTTTCATGATAATGAATTGATTGTTTAATTAAGGATAAGTAAATTTAATTATAATAGAGAGAGTTTAATTAAGGTCGAGGACTTTTAACATTGTCACCACACTCTGATCTTGTTATGTATTTTAAAATTGGACAACTTATTTAATATTTAGTGTGGACATATTTAAACGTGCTTAGCAAAAACGACCAAATTCAACCATTTAAAAAAATACGATTATTGTAAACATCTAAAAAGAAGACTATTTTAAACAAAACTAATTAATAAAAAACCAAAACAGGTATTAAGCCAAAAATAAATTATCCTAATAAAAAGTGGGTGCGGACAATATTATTTTCTATTTTTCTCCTTTTTAATGAATGGTTTGAAAGTCTGCTAAATGAAAAAAAGAGAAGCAATTAGTAACCCAGTATTGATCTGTAATAAGTTTCCAAACTCAAAAATCTAGCTTTGCAAAACCAAAGTTTTTTAAATAATTTTCATATTTTTCTGATAATATTGCTCGGGATTTCTTATGATCTATTTTTCCTTTTTATCGAACCATTGCAATTCCGATTACCACACTTAGAATGATTAATTTTTTGTAATGTCTATTAAAAAATTGTATTGATGCTGACGAGTTGTTTTCTGTATTTAAATTGTTAAGATTAATTTGTTTTTGTTGTAGATTATGAAGAAGTTTGTTGCAGTTTTTTTCTGTTTTGAATAATATCTTGATTTATCAAGTCTTTAGGGATATTTGTTATTTTTTTTTTCATTCATGTAATCACCACTAGCTTTATTTTTTGCGAGCAGGTTTCAATTATGTAGTTCACAATTAATAAGATTGTCAGTTAA